TAAATACAACATTTCCTTCAACTCAGCCCTCAGTCGCATCCAGAAGAAGCGGCCAATAGTGAAGCCAATCCCGAGTTTCTGCACTCAATTGCAGCTCTTCGGCGAAATGGGACACACTTTGGACGCACTGAACGCCAAATTCAGACTCCATTTGCTCAAGAGATGGATCTTCGTCTGGCAGAAGAAGATACTGACCAACCAATCGGATCCCGACATGACTATCACCGACCGGTTCTTCTCTCTTAGCCAACTGAGTGGTGATGCGCCGCAGGGCTTGCCCTACAAGTGCCGCAAATGTTCGACTCTGTTGTTTAGCGACATCCATGTGGTCAGGGATCAGACACTGGACAGCCCTCGCTTTGTCTGCACCAACATCTATGCGGAACCGCAGCCATGGATGGCGTCAACTGTGTATACGAAGAGCAACGGTGCCATTGAGTGTCCGAAGTGCTCGACGGCTGTGGGAGAGTATGACTGGCGGTCCACTACACCCGTCTGTAGTTGTATACTACACGCCAAGTGTCAGCCCTTTTCGGTCTATAGATTCGCGACAAATAACTTGAGTTTTTAGGTCTCAAAGCCCTATTTGTTTGCTATTATAGTGTAGACACTAATCATGAATAAATTGATTCATTCAAATATATTCACAACCAATTATGAATTGAAATCATTTGGTTTTTAATATTATATTGATTTTTATTACTTTAAATGTTTGCATTGAAATTGTCATTTAACTTAAAACTTGTAAGTTATCATTTATTTAGTTCTCCATAAATTTTAATTTATTTTTGGTATTTGTAAATACAAAGTATTAATGTAGTAGTAAGTTAAATTACATTTGTTTAAAATTTTCATTTGAAAATATCAAAATGTTAATATAAGTGTGTATTAACGCAGTGTACCCTATCATAATATTAATATTGGATAATAATTAAGTAATTACTGTAAGTACAGAACTAATTTCTGGGTTTTTTAAAATTTTGTGCACAAAATAAAGTATCGGTGCAAGCAAATAATTTGTAGTATTTTGAAAGACAATTCGAACAAAGTTGAGATCACCCTGATCCATAGAGCCGTTGCTGAGATTAATAAATTTCAAATCATCACAATTTTACATAAAAAGAATTTTAAAAAATCAATAAGGCAAAATTTTAAAAAACCCAGAAATTAGTTCTTTAATATTGATCCTGGAAACAATTTCCAAAAATCAAAACTTACCTACATCTTATAGTTTTTGAGTTACTGATGGACAGGCATATATACCGTTCCCCTTATGCCTGGATAAAATTGGGCACACCGATAGATCGGTGCCAAGAAACAATAGTTTAAAATTATTTTATTTTGATCTAGCTCATATTTAACCTATATTAATTTTAATTTAACCAGTCTCAACTTTTTGGCGACGATTATATATATATATATATATATATCTTGCGTTATAACTGCTATTAAGAATCCTAAACAAATTCATACCAAATAATATTTTTGTCAACATGTGTATTATCTGTGGTAGGCTTAGGAACGAGAAAAAGGATTAGATAATTTTGACTTGAATTTCTGGGAATTGAAACTAATTTATGGCTACCAATTGCCGTTACTATAGCAGTAAGACAGCAGGACTCGCATTTGTTACGTGTATTGTGTCTAGTAATACGTGTTATTAGAAACATCGGATTCCGTGGGCACCGCACTTCATACGATTACTTGTTGCCAGAGGATGTCAGTCACGATGATTGAGCCAGCTCTCGATGCCGATCGTCACGCGGAAAACGTACGAAAACGAATGGAGGTGCTGTCCGTTAGGTTCAGGGGTGCGGCCGGTGGGTCCGACGCGGAGAGCGACGAGGGCGGTGCCAATTCGGAACGGGAGTTTGGTGTCACAAGGGTTTTACCCCATAAGACCTAAAACCGAAAAGACCTAAACTAAAATAACTAACTGACCAGGGGTCGTATTTTAAAATTGATGAGTGGAATAGATTTGTCCTAACCTCACCTAACCTACCCTAACCTAAATTAAGTCAAATGACCACTGGTCAGTTAGTTATTTGAGTTTAGGTCTTGGGTTTTAGGTCTTTTAAGTGAGTCCCGTTCAAATTACTAGCGTTATCGTTAACGTGTGTATGACTTAGATATGCGAAATGCAACGAGAGATGATTGAGTTGAAGCAGAAGATTGCCGATGATAGCCAACAGTGGCAGCGAGAGAAACAGAAGTCTATGGACACCGAGAGGGCACTGGAGGCAAAAGTAGCATCACTTGCCGCCTACTTGAAACGTTTTGAAGGGGAGGCGTTTTGGGTGACGATGGAGCTTGACTTGTGGAAGGAAGAGGTCTTAGAGCTGGACACTGCCAGCGACAGCAACAGCGAAATCGTATGTCACAGTTATCATTATTTGACGCCTAGGTTTTCGACTCCGATCGACTGGTCGACGAGTTAAAGGCAGAGATCGGCCGGCAATCGCTGGAGTTGAAAGATAGCGCTCAAGTTACAGAAAGACTGCGTCGGGAACTGGAGGCCACTAAGGAGGAGGTGAATGGCGTGAAGGGTTTGCTTCAGGAGAGCTGCGCTCTGGCGATGAGGCTCTCGATGAGCAACGAGGCGTTGGTCACTAAGAACCATCAGTTGGAACAGATGACTATACACTCGTATGAGGCAGTTGAGAGGTACACGACCCAATTGCTGGGAACCTTGTTCAACTCGATCGCACACTAAATGGCAGCCAACTAATTCACTCCATTCATTTAGTGTACCTGGACATACTGTATAACGGTATTTAGTTGGGCAATAGTTTGTTTATTTCTTATATTTTAATCGCATGTTTTTACCCCAGTAACTATATATTTATATATTGTATGTTTCGCTAGAATTCTGTTTTAGTGAATCTTATTTTTAATACCAAGTAATTTTTATATTAATTACATACATTAAAATTATTCGCACAAATCAAACGATAAGTGTTTGAATTAATGTAGAATCAAATCGTGAGCACTCATGTTTGCATTATTCCCTACATTCTAGCACGTTTAATAACCACAGAATTGGCGCCTGTATTTCAAAACACATGCCTTCCCACTCAGGATATCATTGCCATAGTAGAGATTAAGGTTCATATTCTGTATGCAATGATTGCGCGCATGTATTGAATCGGATTTTTTAGTATAGCTATGAAAAAGTGGCCAAATATTTGTCATATTCTTTGCTATTACTTCTCATTTGGGCCACACTTTGATCGCTCACCCGAGCGGAAGCCCTCCCACCCGATGGCTATCTCTTCAATCTCTTAGTGGTGTTCACTTTGGCCGTCATATTCGGATGCCTGCGACTGCCGGCGCTCTTATCGATGCTTATCATTGGCCTCCTATTGGGAAAACTCTTCGACATGACTCTAAACAAGAGATTATCATAAATACTGCGATCGCTAGCGCTCGTCAATCCTATTGAGGGCGGGCCTGGGATTGGATCCCAAAGCTCGCGGCCGTAGTGTCTGCGCCTGTCGTTCATCCCATGTCTGGTCGAGGCGGTGACCGTAGCCCTCGTCTCCCATCTCTTACTGGACTTCCTTATTGTCTGGTGATTCATATTGGGCTTCGCGTTCACGCCCGCAGTGGTGTTGCCCGGGATGATAGGCCTACAGGACCGGGACTACGGTGTGGCGACTCCTGTGTGTTTTAATCAATATATTTATGTATTGTATAACTATATGAATGCTATTTGTGTCACTTAAGTGTGTATCAACGCAGTGTACCCTATCATAATATTAATATTGGATAATAATTAAGTAATTAAGTACAAAAACTGACAAATTTATAGACTTTCGCCCACATATTCATGACATAAGCTGTCACCTAATACTTAAGAATAATGCAATACTTATA